TCTCAATATAAAGAAAACAAAAATCCTCACAACTGGACCAATGAGCAGCATCACAACAAATGGAGAGTAGACTGAGGTTGTCAAAGAATTCACGTTGCTTGGTTCTACAATCGATGCCAATGGAAGCAGCAGTCAGGACATTAGACTACGTGTAGTACTGGGAAGGTCAACATTATAGATATAACAGGAAGAACAGCATGATAAAACTCTTAGAACAGATAGAAAGATATACAGGCTAAAGAGCAACTTCTCTTCATTCCTTTCCCTTGCTTTTACACATACAAACTCTCGTAGAAAGACATGGTCCATGTCCTGTTAGAAATAGTTTTCTAAATCCACGTGATCCCAGATTTAAAAAAAAAAAAAAAAAAAAAAAGCTATTGCCACCTGACCAAGCCAAGTCTTTGCCTACTGGAAGATTTTCTAATACTCCTATAACACAAAAAAACAAATCAATTTCTACCCTTCTTGGTATGCATACATACAATCTATGAGCTATGAGGGCTCCTATTACTATGTCATGGAGATATGAAAGAATGTACGCTTCTATGTCCCAAAACTAATGTTGTTGTTGTTGTCTGATGAGTTATAATAAAAACCACTGAAGTAGAGTGAAGGGATGAATAAAGAAATGTCAGTGAATCAAAATTTTATTTTTTCCATATTCTTAGGTGACCAGGAACTGAGCCATGGAGACCTGGTTGAACCAATCATCCATAGATGACTTTGTCCTCTTGGGCATCTTTTCCCACAGTCCAATTGATCTTGTTCTTTTCTCTGCAGTCATGGTGGTCTTCACAGTGGCCCTGTTTGGGAATATCCTTCTTCTCCTTCTCATCTACATAGATCCTCGACTTCACACACCCATGTACTTCTTTCTCAGTCAGCTTTCCATCATGGATCTCATGCTAGTCTGTACTAATGTGCCAAAGATGGCAGTCAACTTCTTATCTGGCAGGAAGTCCATCTCCTTTGGAGGTTGTAGCATGCAAATTGGCCTCTTTGTTGCTTTTGTGGGCTCCGAGGGGCTCTTGCTGGGACTCATGGCTTACGATCGCTATGTGGCCATTAGCCACCCACTCCACTATCCCATCCTCATGAGTCAGAGGGTCTGTCTACAGATTGTGGGAGGCTCCTGGGCCTTTGGGACAGTAGATGGTTTGATTCAGATGGTGATAGTAATGACCTTCCCCTACTGTGACTCGAGGGAGGTAAACCACTTCTTCTGTGAGATGTTATCCGTATTGAAGCTGGCCTGTGTAGACACATCACTTTTTGAGAACATAATATTTGCTTGCTGTGTATTCATGCTCTTCCTTCCCTTTTCCATCATCGTGGCCTCCTATGCTCGTATCCTGGGGTCAGTAATCCGTATGTGCTCTACTCAGGCTCGTAAAAAGGCTCTAGGCACCTGTTTTTCCCACCTGACAGCTGTCTCCCTCTTCTATGGGGCAGCCATGTTCATTTACCTGAGACCTAAGCACTACCGAGTCCCTGCCCATGACAAAGTGGTCTCTGTCTTCTACACCGTCCTTACTCCTATGCTCAACCCCCTAATTTATAGCTTGAGGAACCGGGAGGTGATGGGGGCACTGAGGAAGGGGTTGGGTCGTTGTAGGATCACCATGCAGCACTGAATGTCAAGACATCCATATATGACCATGAGACCACAAGAACTGGATGGTGGCTGGCTACCACTGTCAACCACTCAGAAAGGGGTCAGTGCAGGTGATCCTGGATAGAGTGGGAAAACTATGTGAAGCAAAACTCAAAATCATGAGAAAAAGAAAAAAAAAAAAAAAAAAAAAAAAAAAAAAGACCAGGTTTCCTGGTCTGATAGAGGCTGGTGAGATCCCTGACACTAATGTCCCTAGTTACCCTTCAGATCTGGAACCGAATTCATTTCTGTAGATTCCAGTCAAACAATAGATAGGCATACGAGGTGAACATTTACATCAGGTAGATACACTTCTTGGAGCAATCAGTTGTGGGAGAACAGAAGGGCAGTATTTGCACAGGGAGATAGCTTGGAGGTCAGGGCCAGAATTGCATGGGAGGAAAGGACACAGAACAGAGAACTAGGAGGAGGAAGTGGGAAGAAAGCTGTTACATTGTAGGAAATTGCAGTCAATGTTATGAAACAAAATGTGTATGCAATGCTGTGTGGAAAATTAATTTGCTCTGTAAACTTTCACCCAAATCACAATAAAAATTTAAAAAGAAAACAAATATCCCCTGAAATCTTCTTAAAATCAAACATTGGCTTAGCTTAGCTAGTAAGAAAATGTCTTCCTTGAACATTATGCGCTTTTAAGGACTATCTATATGGTATCAAATTGACAACAGCAACTCAAAAGATGAGATAGGAACCTTATAGGGCAGTAAATTTATGTTAGCAGGGGAGGAACAACTGAGAAAATGAGGGTGAGAGTGGTTGCACAATTCAAAGAATGCAATCGATATCACTACATGCAGAAACTGTTGGATTGGTAAACGTTTAGTTTTGTATGTTCTCAACAACAACAAAATTAATTAAAATTTTTAAATATTAAAAAAGAAAAAGTGGGGAGGAGTGGCAAGATGGTGGACTAGGGAGAAAGACTGCACAGACCCTCTTCAACAAAGAAAAGGGAAACCAATTAACACAGACACAAAAAATAATCCTGGACCCCTGAGCTTTGAAGGGAAGGATATAGAAGTAGACTAAACCCCAACTAGCAGAAGAATTTGCCTGAAAATACCAAAAAAGGAGACAAACGGAGCTGTGGTCTGGCAGTGATCCTAAGCGATCCTGATGGCACAGGCAGCTTGAATGATCCCAAGTGGTGGTAGGACCTAAGAATTAACCTAAAAATCACCCTGCTAGCTCGGGACTGCACGGAGGACTGTGCACGGTGGCTGGGGAACAAATGGAGAAGGTGAAGAGAAAGGTGAGCTGGACTGTAGACTTTTGCTGGTCTGGAGGGGGCTGCCATTTTGAGGGTTTAAAAAGTGGCTTGACTATTTTGGATATTTAAAGAGACAGCACTCTCACAGATTCCTGGGGCTTAAGAACACATTGTGCTTTCCAGCAACCCCAAGGACACTTAGGACCTGCAAAACTGACAAGGTACGACATTCCTCTTATTACTCTTATACCCACACCCACTTGGTGAATGGAGGTGTGGCCATC